AATGCCCTTATTTTTTGCTACGATGAAGAATACAAGCCGCTCAATATTCTCGCCCAATTTAATAAAAAAGACCCACATATTAAAAGATTTCGTGGTGGGATTTATAACCAAAATTTAGTTGCTGACACCCTTTTAGAAAAATGAGCTAATTTGCCTAACAAAAAAATATTGATTAATACTCTTTGTTATTATCTTGGTTGGCAGGTGAGAAGATTGGTTAGCATTTTGGAGAAAGTTAAAGCCAAAGCGGAATAAAACGAAGAATAATGCCAGAAGAAGGGACGGCATATTCTTAAGTATTTACCCTTTCTTGGTTCCGTAAAGAGAACGACCTTGCTTGCGGTTTTTTACTCCTTGGCAATCACTATGACCCCGGATGACATGATATTTTACTCCCACTAGGTCTTTGGGTCCACCTCCACAAAATAAAACTCGCGAATATTCCTGTAAATTATGACCTTCGCCTGGAATATAAACGGTTATTTCTTTTCTCTTTTTTTTTTGTCAGTATACTACCACCCGAGCATAACTCCGCAATGCCGAATTTGGTTTTTTGGGTTTCAATTTTCCAATCTTCTTACAAATACCCGATTTTTGCGGAAAAGACCATTGCGACTTTTTACGCTTTTTAGGAACCCGGGGCTTTTTAGTTAATTGGTTAATAGTAGGCATATTATATATTTTGGGATGAGGGAGAGGTTCCTTCAACCCCACCAGATTCCCACTACGGTTAATTTAAGGAAGTATTACAGCACTCGGCACTCAGAAAGAGAAATAGTGTGACCTTCATTCTAAATGTAAGGCTAAGGCAATTTTTTTGCTAATCAGGCAAGAAAAATTATTAATGATTTGGGAGTTTCTAATGTAGTCGGAGCATTAGAAGATTTGAAAAAAATCAAAGAAGAGGCAATTAAACTTGTAGCATTTAAAGAGAATTGAGAAGAAACATTAAGTTCAAAAAGTGCTACAAATCACAACACTGGCCAACGAAAGAGATAATTTACAAGAACA